ATGCATGTCTGTATGTATAGATACGGATAGATAGAGAGACAGGGAGAAGAAAGAAAACAATGATGGTACAAGTAGGTGGGGTCGAACATACCTGCAGAAGAGCAAAGGCAGCGCATGACCTCAAAATAGACGAAGTGTTACGGAGCATACTAACGAACCTCCCAATCTCTGCCCCACTGAAAATAATAATACACAAAAAAGAATTAGTATTCTTATGTGAAAAAGATTTGGAGTAAATGCCAGAAAACTCAGAGATATCAAAAGCAATTGCTGCACACAAAAATCATGATTGTAAAGAAGCCAAGGTCCAGAGGCTTATGGCAAGGTGATCCCACTGCCCTTTTTATTCCCTATAGTTGCTGAAACTTTTGCCAAAATGCTTGCGAGAGTGTATGGGGCATATTTAGTTATAGGCTTTAAGACTTCAAAAAGAGGATCAACAGTGGCTCATCTGCAGTATGCAGATGATACATCTTTTGTGATGCAAGTGAGAGGGATACGAACTTATGGTTGTTTCTGAGGTATTTCTAGACGCTATCCGGAATACAGATTCATCGTCATCACTAGAGCTTTATCCCAATTATTTGAGGTCGGCTATACAATTTTCGTCATTCTGCTCTAATAAGGGTTATACCGTCAATAAGGCCATAAGTCCTCATATCTTTTCTCACTAATTCCATCCATATCCAGAATACGGGTTAATATGTCAAAGATCAAGGCTAGTGGGTGTCTCCATACCTAGAGAAAAGATGATGAAGCTTGCTAGGCATGTTAGGTATGGGATCCATCAGCTACCTGGCAAGTACTTAGAGTTGTCTTATGGCCCATTTGGATCCTAGAATTTGCATGTCCAGTACAATCCAGAAGAACAGGTTTGGCTTCATTTTTGACACCCATATCTTGGATATTCCAATTCAAAAATAAAAGCTAGAATTGGCATATCCATGATAGGCCAATCCAAAGGAAATCATTGGAAGGTGCGCTGCAGGGAGCGTTAAACCCTTCTCTCCTCCTTAATCACCTAGAGAGAGTGAAGTTAGAGCTAGAAAGAGCATGATTAGAGTGAGAGCAAAATGACAGAGAGAGATGGGTTAGAGAGACAAAATTTAGCACAAGGGCATAATTAGATAAGAGTTAGAGAGAGAAAGGGCATGATTAGAGAATGAGTTAGAGAGAGAAGAGGGTTAGACCGAAAGGACATGATTAAATAATGAGTTAGAGAGAAGAGCGTTAGACAGAGAAAGGACATGATTAAAGAATGAGTTAGAGAGAGAAGAGGGTTAGACAGAGAAAAGACAAGGTTAAAAAGAGAAAAGAACTCAACAGAGAAAGGGCACAACAAAGAGAGAGTTAGAGAGAGAAAGAGGTTAAGAGACAAAAGAGTTACAGAGAGATTGGAAGAACAGATTGATTTGGATTCGTGGGAAGGACATGGTGATTTGAGCTGGTGGGAGGGACACATTGATTAGGGCTCCTAATCAAAATGGATAATTCATGGTAAAACCTGTGTACCAAAATTCAGTGGGGAGGACGTATTGATTTAGGCTCCTATAGAATTGCAGCAATTCTTCTTCAGGCCTGGTGGGGAGGCCATATTGATTTGGGCTCCCAATTGAAATGGAGAATTCTTGGTAAAATCCAGGTACCAGCTCCTTATTCAGAGAGACAAAATTCAGTGGTTGATTGGGTGTGCCAACTCCCCATGTGCTAGCATGGACTTTATTGGATTAGATAAGGCTTTAACCATTCATCATGATGCAAAGAGGGATGGCTCTCCTAATATGTGTATCCTGTGCAAAGAGGAGGCAGAAAGTGTGGATCATTTATTTCTCCCATGCCCTGTTGCTATACAAGTACGGGGAATTATGCTTCGCTCGTTTCATCTTGTGTGGGTGAAACCAAGTAAACAAAGTATATACTTCAAGATTTAACCCAAGACTACCAAAGAGAGGAACTATATTTTCTAGAGGCCATCTATTTCCAAGATCTGGTGGGTAAATGCTTTCGTGACAAAAGCTGTGAGATACAGAGATTGGAAGAACAGAACATGTCAGCAGCCACAGAATTGGCACCTTTGGGAAAAGAATTTTCAGGACACTCCTTGAAAACCATTAGGTGGAATGGCACGTTGGGGAAAAAAATTCAGAGGCACTTAATCGTAGACCTGAAAACTGTTTGGTGGAATTTATTGAAATACAAATGCAGACACCAGTCATGATTGAAGGAAACTCTCAAAATGTCATCTGTTGGGGGAATGACCATGCAAGATGCACAGGGAGGCTCGATATTGTGTTTCAACACATGAAGAATTTACAACTGAAAAGATGAAAGCATTGCTCAATCACACTTGGAGGGAAGCTAACATGAAGGCAGATGCATGGGTCTGGGAGTGTCCAAACAGAATTAATAGATTCTTTTCTGTTTAACAAGATTCTACGTTTGCAATATTGTTTTTTTTTTTTTTTGAGAAAGTTGACTATTTGTATTGATAGAATATAGAAGGTACAAAATCTTGAGCAGGAAACAGTTAGGCCTTCCCCAATAACTGGGTGGCCTTTACAAACCCCTAAGCGGGCCAGAAAATAAACATAAAAATTGAAATCCTAAGCTAGACTATAGGCCCCTGAGAGGGGTTGAGGCTAGCTCCCTCCCTAGCTAGCGTATCCGCCTCTGCGTTAGATTATCTATAGGTATATAACCAGGACATATTGATAGAGGAACAAACATAATGAATCTCTGCAAAGATATCAAAATATTGTTTGTTAGGGAAAATATCAAAAAGGGGTTAAAACCCCTTGTAATATCACCAAAGGGGTTAAAAGAATAAAACTTGCACTTAAAGGTGTGCTTTTAAGTATCTATGTCAATTAGATACTTCCTAAAAATAAATTTCAAAAAATTCCCAAATTGCCCTTATTCGGCATTGGAACAATAAGGGATATTTGTGTAATTTTACCCCCCCAATGAGTAGCAAATTCATTATTTTATTAGAATTAGGTGGCTCAAGGAAAGTTACTGTTTTACCCTTCTTTGTTATGTTTTAGAAACATGGAACACAATTACTTTCTTTAAAAATACAAGTTTTGTTTTCCTAATACGGAACTTTCAATGGTAATCAGGTCCTTTCGCTCAATCTACTTGCCCGATAGAAAAGATCATTTTAGCCCTAGTTGTTCCGCTTTAAGAAAGTAGAACAAAAGTTTGCATAGGAAAAAATTTAATTCCGTCTTCCTAAAGTTGAACAACTATGACAAAATGGTCATTTTGCTCGGGTAACTAAATTGAGAAAAAAGACCTAATTGGCCCTAAAAGTTCAGTATTAAGAAAATAGAACTTGTATTTTTAAAAAAATAAACTATGTTCCATGTTTTCAAAACAGAACAAAGAGGGGTAATTTTCCTTGAGTTTCTAATTAAATAATGAAGTTTCCCCTCATTTGGGGGTAAAATTACTGAAATATCCTTCATTGTTCGGCTTTTCCAAAGCAGAACAAGGGCAATTTGGGAATTTTTTAATTTATTTTGAGGAATTCAAGAATTTTTCGAGGCGACAAATGCGTGACACAGACACTCTTTAACAAGATAACAGCCCCAGTCATTTTTTGGGGCACCAACCACGAGATTCAAGGGCCTCCCCTCAACATTCCTTCATAAATGGCAAACCTTACTCAGCACCTGCTCTCCAGCCATCTCCCGTGCTCCTCATTGGACCCCACCTCCCCTGGGTCAAACCAAGCTAAATTTCGAAGGGTGCTCTCACGGCAACCCCAGCCCGGCAGGAGTCAGCAGTATCTTCAGGGGCCACAATAGTCTCACTCTGGCTTCCTTTTCCAGCCGCATTGGCCACGGCGACTCCCAATTTGCTGAGCCCATGGCCGTTCTATCCAGCCGCAAGCTCTTCAATTCTTCTTGGGGTCAATCCCTGATTATTGAATCCCAAAACATCATTCCTAGGCCTCCGGCTCCTCACCTTGCCTCTAGCACCGATTTATGAATAATTTACTCATATTTGCAGGGATATGGTTGTCTCATGGAAGCATACCTGGCGGGAATCCAACGCCTTGGCAAACACCCTTGATAAGGACGGAGCTCACAACAGCACTACCTGATTTTTTGAGACATCGTCTTCTGTTACCCTGTATTTTTATTTATATTTTCTGGGTCAACTTATAAAATGTAACCCCAGTTTTTGTGTAACCCCATTTTTTTGTAATATTTAACCCCTTTAATGATATTACAACGTGTTTCAACCCTTTTTTTGATACTTTACCCCCCCCTTCCTTTTTTTGTACGAGTCTCCTGTGTATGGGCTTAATTTTCTCACGAGTAGGAGAACTAGATGTGTATCCATTTTGTATAATGAAATATGTCTAACAATAAAAAAGAAAATGAATGATGAATTTCTAAGACCCAATCAGTTACAATCGGCTGCCTGCTAATGAATCAAGAGGACTTCAATTAATTAATTGAAGAAATGAAACTGACTCGGGGACCCCTATTTATTCTGATAAGTCAGGGATACTTCCACAGGCTTAAATGGCAGTGTCTTACCTGCATCTAAGATGGCCTGCTTCTTGTATGCGTGCCGCTTCCCCTACTTGTGCCAAGGAAGCAGGGGCAGAGGATGTCGCCGCTGCTGAGAAGGTTTGCGGGTCTGAAAATGTCCGAACAAATGCTTCAATGTGTTTGAGTGCAACTTTTCTAGCCACCTCTAAGCTTGCACTCTTTGAAGCTCCATCTGAGGATGAACCTATCAATGCAATTTCATCCATTCTGTACAACAAAACACTGAGTATCAAATCAGTGCAAACAATTTTGGACAATTGATACATTAATGAAATTTAGCCGACCCCAAATAGTTCGGATAAGGCTCTGATGATGATGATGATGCATTAATGAAATTATACCACTGTTGGTAATAAACTGATAAATGGAGAGTATGGGATCAGTGTTCACAAAAAAAATACATGCCAAAAATGAATTAAGGGGAAAGTACACCATGATATAATGGAGTATTGGCATAAGGTAATCCAGCATCCAACGCCCATTCATGATGATGGACTGAGGAGATTGATTGTACATGAGTGAATGTCAAGGCAGGGCCCACTCTAGGCAATCTCCATCGTCCATCACGAACGGGTAGGGGAAGCCCTTTGGAGCATGGTATGCCATACTCCACTGGATTATGGTATGCCAGTATGCATTGCCAAGTAATAAAAAGGGATGACAATGACAGAATATAACCAGCAAAACAAGAATTGAGATGTGGCTATCACTAGATTATTAATCACAACCACATCTCAAATGAATAATGACAAAAAAAAGAAAATGACCCCAGTTATAGGTCCCACACCATCACTGTCCATAATTTCATTGAGCACTAGTGACCCAATGGACAATGACCATACCATAATCCAAGAAATTTCAAGTGAAACTTTCCCTTTTTCCTGTCCAGGTTAATTAAGAAGTCAATAATTGAAAAAACTGGGGGCCTAGCTTTGAGTAATCTTACAAAAAAGTAGCCTCCTGACATGAACTCCCACTTCAAATGTTTACAAATGCAATCATTAGAAAATAGGATGAATTTTTTTCGCTTGCTTGCCCAAAAACATGGTAATAAAGAAAATTCACCTTAAAATTCTCCGTGAAGTAGTTTTCTGCTCAATACTCCATTGAATATGTTTGATTGATTAAGGTGTTGATTATTACACAACGACATCCAAGATCGAATCCTATATGGAACTACTCCAACACAATATATACATATAGGGTGTGGGTTTGTCTAAGGCTGAGGCCCCAAACAATTAACCTAAGGTGCGCCTTCAAATATTGTCAAAAGATGATGTTTCAGCACTGAAAATCTTTGTGATGGCGTGAAAATTTATTTTCATCTGTAATTATAAATTTTAAAACTTCAAAATATTGTATATCGATTAAAGCAAGGCGCACCTTCAAATAGTGTCGAAGGATGTTGCTTCAGTACTGAAAATATTTATGATGGCCTGAAAATTTATTTTCATCTCTAAATATAAAATTTAAAACTTCAAAAATATTGCAGATTGAGCAGCTCCATAAACATTTAAATATCTAGGAAATTGATGGTCCAGAAAATGCATTACAAGATGCCTTATTTCCAAGACTTGAAATCCATTTTTTTCATATCCATATATCTTGAGGTCGAGATGAACAACTTGAGCGTTTTTGGACATTGAAACAACCTCTTCTAGTGATAGTTTGAGGGGCACCTTAATTTGATTGTTTAGGGCCTCACACTTATATAAACTTTTTCCATGCTTATGGCCTCGCTAAGGGTATGGTTGTTAATAGAGCAGCATGGCAT